GAAGCGTCCATCAATGGAGGGTACTCGGTCGAAGTACGGGGAGCTCCGTTACATATATCATACAATAATTCTGAGGCATTGCTATTTGTGTAATTCATGCAATATTAATCTTGATATAAAAAAGTTTTGTGTTGAGATTAAATCAGTGTATAGAAATAAGGCCAGCGATACATCTGTATCAGACAATGCTGAAATCATTAAAAACCTAAGAATAAATACTCTAGGTCATATTCATAAACATATGAAAAATGATTTAAGCTATGAAGAGTGGTTGAAGGGCATAGAATGGGAAGCTGTCACGGTAGTTTACCCCAACTCGCAAGATTTAGTCCAACAATTGACAATATAGAGCAGATACGTCTTACCGGACCTTAGAATGGCCGGACTCGACGTAGAGCAGAGAAATACAGAGTCAGGAACGATCCGAGGTCAAGGGTACAAAGAGACAGCGAAAACAAGAACTAGCCAAGGTCTTGTAAACAGTAATCAGTAAGCCGGCAAACAAGACAAAACAGGGATAAAGAGATAAACAGAGTCAGATACAAAGCCAAGGTCAAGTACGAAAATCACAACTGAACAACACAAGCTCTAAAGGGAACTGAAACAGAAACCACGATAGGGCAGGGAGTTAAGGGAGAGGTTCGTATAAATACCCTAGCATTTAATTTGATTGGCCCCTGTAATATCCACGCCCCCAAAATGTGAGTGTATGGGGAATGTGGGATGACAGGGGCCAATGGGAGACCGTTTTAGTTTTTGGCTCCCACTTTCCCTTTAAGAGCATGCCCGAGACACGCGGCGCGCTCTCGGAGCTAGGCGGGACACGTGACCGCATCCCGCGGTCAGTGCCCGCCGTCATCCGAGCCCTGAGCGGCGAGAAATAAGGACCTTGGCTGGCCCCCAGATAAGGTAAGTACCACTACAGTACCCCCCCCCCCCGAAGACACGCCCACCGGGTGGGGAGGACCAGGCCTGGCAGAAAAACGAGAATGGAAGGAACGCACAAGGCGAGGAGCGTGAACAGCGTCAGCGGAAATCCAACTGCGTTCCTCAGTCCCATAGCCCTTCCAATGCACCAGGTGCTGTACACAGTAATCAGTAAGCTGGCAAACAAGACAAAACAGGGATAAAGAGATAAACTGAGTCAGATACAAAGCCAAGGTCAAGTACGAAAAATCACAACTGAACAAAACAAGCGCTAAAGGGAACTGAAACAGAAACCACGATAGGGCAGGGAGTTAAGGGAGAGGTAAGTATAAATACCCTAGCATTTAATTTGATTAGCCCCTGTCATATCCACGCCCCCAAAATGTGGGATGACAGGGGCCAATGGGAGACCGTTTTAGTTTTCGGCTCCCACTTTCCCTTTAAGAGCGTGCCCGAGACAAGCGGCGCTCTCTTGGAGCTAGGCGGGACACGTGACTGCATCCAGCGTTCATTGCCCGCCGTCATCCGAGCCCTAAGCGAGCCACGCGCAGCGGGAACTGAGGACCTCGGCCGGCCCCCGGATACGGTAAGTACCGCTACAGAAGCTAAAATGACCATTCTAAGTGATTCACCCCTAATGGCACATCTTAAAGCAATTGGTGAACATACTAACATAGAGAAAAAAATGGGGCAAATAATACACTCTTGGCCTTTCTTTATGAGAGGACTTCTGAAGGCGTTAGATGAAAACAAGGTACTGAATACCAGATTGGACACATACAGTGACGATCTGGGCATTCAAAATGAGCATGAAGCCCCTCAGGCTGATCATGAAAAAGAATTGAAAGCTTTGACGGATAAATATGCACAGGAAATAAATCAACTTAAAACGCAATTGGATGAGTATGAAAAGGAGAGTCAGAAATCAGACAGTGAGGTTAGTAGTCATCATTGTGTGCCAAGAAGCTGCACAAAAATGCAAGAAAAGGCTACATGGAAATCCCCTCTTTATTATGATTTCCCCACACCAGACAAGTATAGACATACTCAGAAGACTTAACACAGTCACAAAGTAAAGATGTGAGTAATTCTGAGAAAACATCTGTGGAACAGGATTCCTCACCTCACGATATTGGCAAAAATCCTGGCAATCTTGGGCAGAACAGTTTGAAAAGGCTATCTTGGCCAAGCTTGAGAAGGAGAGTCCAGTTTAAGGTGAGAGGAATGAAAACAGACATGGTTCTGTACACTGGCAGAACTCTGATGCTGATCAGAGTTGTGACAGTGAACAAGAAGCTCAGAGTGATGGGAGTGAAAGTGATTGCACTGTCCACTCTGAAGGCCATGTGACGGAAATGCCATCTGCGCTGTTATACAAATCTTATCCCTCGTCAGCAGACAGATCGCGTAGACGTTTACCAAAAAGAAAGGTAAATAGAAGTGATCGTAAATCAACAACGACTGTGTATGAAATGCCTAAGGTTATTAAAGTCCCACAATTTTCTAGAGGTTCAGTAAACATATCTGAACATCTGTAAAATTATGAAAGAGCCATGAATTAATTGGGCATGTATGATGACATCCATAAAATATGGTTCATCACATGGACCTTTGATTCAATGTGCCGCATTTATCTAGAAGGTCTGCAAGCTATACAGCTAATGTCCTGGTCCAAGATGAAATATGAAATAATCATGGAATATGGTAAGTATAAAACCATTGCTTCGGCTAGAAAGGCGCTTTACAACTTAAAGTGCTGTCCAGATCAAAGTCCCAGAGAATTTTTAATCATTCTTAAAAATGCATATTCCGTGGCCCAAAGGAAACCCAGGTATGAAAGTACAGAGTTCAAAGATCTGTATTTTCATGCCATGCCGGTAAACATACAAATGAATCTCACAAGAGATTATGATTGTAAGTTACCATTAGAATGACTAGTCAGTCAGTGCGTGAAATTGTATACTATACACCATGCACATGACGAAAATCAGCCAAAGGTTAAGAAACCTGGTGATAAAATGGTGTCAGAGACTAAAATTCAGTTAGGCTTAGAAACCCAACAGAAAAAGAGGACCTATTCCGAGGTTTGAAAACTCCAAAACCTCAGAAACAGGAAAGTGCCAGTAGCAATTCTGTAAATTCCTCTGATAATAACTCTGAAGAATCCAATGCCAATGGGAATAAACGCCCCTGGGTTAATAAGAACCAAGGCAATTCCCAATGGAGAAGGAATCCTCAGGGAAATAGGAGATATGGAAACAGAAACAACCAATCTGCTTCCAACAACTCCCAACAGTCCCAGCCATCCCGGCCTAATTCTAATGGGCAAAGACAAAACGGCAATGGGGGAAATAATTTGCGTCGTCAGGTTGGTCAATTGACAGACCAGATGGGCAAATTAATGGAGGAAATGACAAAGATTAACCAAGTCTTTGCCAGAAATCCTTTTTTAGGGACAACTCCAATTGCAGAGCCACCTGTTCAACTGCAGCAGCAACAACAGGTGCCGCAGCAATAATAGCCTCTGTGACTAAACAGGCTAGGTTGTCAGTAGATGTAATACCTAACCCTGTTTCCTTTTCAGATCCTCGCAGTCAGACAAACAATAGTTGTGTTAGGAAACCTATTGCCTATCCCGTCACTTCCCTTCCGGGTGAAGGAGGCGCAACGTGTCCCTCTGCTTTTTCATTTCAGCCAAAGGCTAAAATAGCCCCAGCAGCCGCTAGTATCCAGGATCCAGACCTGAAAGGGTTAACTGATGAGATGCCAACCACTAGTTCTCGCTTGACGGTTCAAGATATTCCTAAGAAAGATGGGCCTGTGGGTAAGACTGAGCATTCCTCAGTACAGATAGAAACTACTGCTGTGACAGGTAACGTATGGAAAACGAGTGATATGTTGACACATTCTAAATTCTTATGTGAATTAGAAGAACATGAATGAAGGTACTACATGTCTGTAGAAATACAGGATTCGCTACCCCAACCTTTTAAAAGGTTAATAGATACTGGTTCACAAGCCACTATCTTATCCAATACCTACTTCCAGCAGGTAATGGACTTAGCAAAGGATAAGCCGACGCTAAGAGATTTCCCCAATGCTCTTTTGAGTGTAGGAGGAAATGCCTTCATATTATTGGCAATACTTGGTTAAAATTTAAAATAGGTAACAAAACCTTTAGACACCCGGTAATAGTGGTAGACCTCCCCTATTACCGACTTATTCTGGGTATAGACATACTCAGAAGACCTATTATTACAATTATTGACTGTGTGAATGGAATTGTATGGTCACAAGCTAAGGTTCCTATAACCTATGTGAAATCACATGTTCAATCTGATCATAATTGCCATGTGATAGAAGAAAGACCTGACTGTATTGAGGTACATTTTAGGAATAGTCAGTCACCTGATGTGACTATCCTGCCGGTGAATGACGCAATTGCACTTGTAGATGAGCATTCTGTAAGAGTTGCTCCAGAGAGAATCCAGAATGTCTCTCTGGAAGGTGATGTTTTAACCATTTCTCTCCACAGGGACTATGTTGAATCTGTTGATCTGGCAGGTCATGCTCAATTCCTTGCCAGAATTGATAGGGTTAATAACAACTTATTCTTTCCTATTCAAATAAATGACTTAGGAAGAAGTAGGAATGCAAAGCTGGACTTACAGAGTGAGGACAGCTACATTAGCAGAAGTCTGTTAAAGCAGATCGCTAATCCTAAAATGATCAGATACGCTTCCCCACATGACAGGTGGATCCAGAACCTGGATGGCGAATCAGAGAGTCACAATGTGATAGCAAAATGTTTACTATCTATTTCCATTGGAAATAAGATGGCTAAACATTTATTCCTAGTGATAGATGAACCTCGCCATCAGGTGTACATTGGCAATGATGTCATACACCTTGATCTGATCAACTCCAACTTGTGGACAAGGTGAAAAGGTAATCCTGGTAAATACCATTAGGAGGAAAACGCCCTGAAATCAGGACAAATACTACCATATGCGGTAAGTATCCAAGTACCTGATGACATAACCATTCCACAAGAGACAAGTAATTTTCTTTTAACCCTACAGGTCGAGAAGGGTCAGAGATTGGAAAACTCTGACGCCCTAATCTGTTTATCCAATAGGATACAACAATTAGGGGTGGTGGTAACACATACACCAATGGTGAGTATTGGTAAGAATCCCACCTATGTAATAGTCAACAATGTTACACCCAATAGTGTTACTTTACCAAAAGGAACATTATTAGGTCTAGCATTGGATGCTGAGTACTATACGTTTGGTTTCCAAAACCAAATTATAGGCCTCATCCCTGAAGAGTACTTAACTGAGGACGAAGTTGTCGATCAAATATTCCATTCCTCCCCAGAAGGATTATTCACTATCTTAATTGTATATCCCTTCAACATTGAAGAAGGCTCGTGTAGAATCTAAGAGGCATCAATCACCTTCGATCATCCGCTCAATGAGCAGGAATCACAAGAGTATCACGACCAATGAGAAAAGGTGAGTCAACACCGAACTGACCTAACTTCTAGGCTTGAAGAAGCCCATGAGGTAGGCCAACCTGAAATCTTTCCAGGATTTCAGGAAAGGCTACAAGAGCAAATATCTTTAGCTGACAGTTGTTCCAATGATCCTGAGCGGCAACAACTAAGGGAATTCCTTTTGGAATTCCAAGATATTTTTGCCAAAGATTCCTATGACTGTGGGTTAACTAACCTCCACATAGCCAGAATACAAACTGATCCAAATTTACCACCTGTATTTATCGAACAATATAGACTCCCATTAACATCATATGATGGTCTACAAGACATCATTCAGAATTTAAAGGAAAGGGGCATTATACGTCCGGTGCACAGTTCGTATAATAATCCGATCCTGGGGATTCTGAAACCTAATAGACAATGGCGTTTATGCGCTGACTTACGACAGCTAAATAAACGTTTCTATGTGTCTGGTTGGCCAGTGCCATACATAGACCAATGTTTGGTACAATGCAGGGATCCAAAATATTCACTGCCATTGACTGTGCGCAGGGATATTGGACTGTACCAGTCCATGATAAAGACCAATACAAACTGGCTTTCACATTTGGAAAGCAGCAGTATACCTGGACCCGTATGCCTCTTGGTTACATAAACTCTGGTCATGAATTCGCTGTGTTCATGCATAAAGCTATGCCGGATGCACTCGAGAGAGGAATGTTATCATATGTCGACGATGTCTTGCTGAAAAGCACTTCCTTTGATAAGCATGTCATAGAGATTAGGCATCTTCACTCAGTTAAGAGAGGCAGGGATTAAACTATCTTTACAAAAGGCACAATGGTGTTGCACCCATGTAAATTTCCTAGGACATGAGGTGACTTCTGAAGGGTTTAATCCCCAGCAGAAAAAGGTTAAAGCTGTACTAAAGGCTAAAACACCTACTAACATCAGGGAATTAAGATCACTCCTTGGTATGACTAACTACTTCCGTAAGTTTATAGATAACTATGCAGAAATAACAAAACCACTCTTACACCTGCTTAAAAAGGAAACTGGGGGGAGCCTCAGGACCAAGCGGTAGGTGAAAGGAGGAGGAAGCTCACTCAGGCACCCTGTTTAGCATACCCAGAGGCAAGTAAACCTTTCTATGGAGACAGGATATACCGATTTAAGCATAAGTGCTGTCCTGTATCAGAAGCAGGACAGTCTAAACAAAGTTATTGCATATGCTAGCAAGACTTTGTCACCCGTTGAAGTTAAATTCAACACGTGTGAGAAGGTGTTATTGTTGACTGTTTGGGCACTACAAAATTTTCGTAGCTATATTCAAGGTGAGAAAATAATTGTAGAAACTGCTCACCAACCTCTACAGTATCTGCATAGTGAAAGAATCAGAGACGGTAATCTCTCTAAAAGTCGGATTACTGCATGGACTCTATCCTTACAGGGATGGCCTTTAGAAGTCTGTTATAAACATAATAAGAGAAGCCCAGTAGCCCAAGGTTTAGCAGAATTACATGACTGTACTGCTCCATCTCTGGATTATAATGACACCGGAGATGACTTCCTAGAAGAGCAATTGCTATCCCCTTATAAAGTTTATGACGAGGAATACTGTCGACCACTACCGTGGGTATACATTGATGGTTGTTCATATCATCACACCGATGGCAATGAATGGAAATTAGTTGCAGGTATCGGAATCGCCTGGACAGATGATTATACCAAGGTATCTATAGGATACAATATTAGTCCCAATTAGCCAAAATCTGTGCAGTATATAAGACCATTCAAATGGCAATAGAATATGGTATCAAAGAATTTGTTATCATAACTGATTCCAACTATATTCGCAACAGTTTCGTTGAATATCTGCCTAGCTGGAAACGTAACCAAATTCTGAAAAGCAATAACAAACCTGTTAAACATGGGAAATTGTTTTGTAAAATCGATGAACTGGTTAAAGAAAATGGTTTAACCATATATTGGAAGAAAACCAAAGGCTATTCTAAAATAGAAGGTATTGACAAGGAAGGTAATGACTTAGCCGATTCACTGGCAAAACAAGCAGCCATCAATAGTGAAACCCTAAACATTGACGACCTTATGGGTTCAATTCATGTTGACGCCATAACTAGACGACAGGCTAGGGATAATGCCGACTTAAATGTTGTGCAATGGAGTCAAGAAGCTCCTAGTGAGGACCTGATTACAAGTCAAAAGAACTATCACATTATAGGCAAATTCTATAGACATATAGAAGACCCTACTGCCAATCCCATTACGGATGAGGATTGCAAACGTAATGAAGATTTACGAATCTTGATGAGATATAAAGTCCAATTTAGTATCATGGATGGTTTGCTTGTCAGAACTTCTAAACATGGTATACAACAATGGGCATCATGGTAATAAGATCACATATGAGATATAGTGATGTCGCGAACATAAAATTTTCAGTTCGCGAACCGCGAATGCGAACTTCTGCAAATGTTCGTGAACCGGGAGAACCCGGTGAACCTCCATAGACTTCAATAGGCAGGCGAATTTTAAAACCCACAGGGACTCTTTTTGGCCACAATAGTGGTTGAAGGGGGGGGAGGAAGCCAACTCTCCTCCCCACCGGCCCCCACCCCTGGGCGGCGGGTGGGGGCCATAAAGATAATGAGGAGGGGACCTACTGTCCTCCCCCTCTCCGGCCCCCACCCCTGGGCGGCGGGTGGGGGCCATAATGATAATGAGGGGGGACCTACTGTCCTCCCCCCCCCAGCCCCCACCCCTGGGTGGCGGGTGGGGGCCATAAAGATAATGAGGGGGGACCTACAGTCCTCCCCCTCTCCAGCCCCCACCCCTGTGCGGCGGGTGGGGGCCCTAAAAATAACAATAAGGGGGGGACCTACTGTCCCCCCCGGCCCCCACCCCTGAGCGGTGTGTGGCGGCCCTAATAACAATAAGGGGGGACCTATTGTCCCCCCTGGCCCCCACCCCTGAGCGGTGGGTGGGTGGGGGCCCTAAAATTAACAATAAGGGGGGGACCTATTGTCCCCCCCGGCCCCCACCCCTGAGCGGTGCGTGGGGGCCCTAAATACAAAGGGGGGGACCCTAGTCACCCCTCCCCCCCCAAAAAAAAATCTCACTACCTACCACCCACACCCTAAAAATAATGAGGGGGGGGGACCTTTAACTAAAAACCTGTAAAAAAAAAAATTAGATAAAAATAATTTACCATTTGATGTTTTCTTTATTCTGCAATCTTCTTTTTTCAGCCCCAAAAAAGCCATAAGAACAGACGCAATTAAAAAAAACAAAACAGAAAAAAACGAGCGCACAAAA